GAGCACTGGCGCCACTGCTGGCCGCGGTAGAGGTTTCACTGGTAGACGTCGCGTCGCGGGTGATGGGGTAGGCGTAGTCATCTTGAAGAAGACGGGTGAATGACGAATTGATGATGATACAGGCGAATGGGAAGAAGAACGAGAGGGAAGGATAAGAACAATCGGAGGTGCTTCTTCCATGCTTGAGATCCTAAGTGAATGCTGGATGATGCTGGTCACCCATGCATGCGCACAACTGAACTGCGTGGGCGTACAAGTGGGTTGCTACATTTGCATACTACCCACGCCATGCATTGGGTGCGTGGGCGGTCAATCCAAGCGAGGATGGCCCCTGCTGATTAACTCCATTTAAACCATTGCTCTAAATGACAATTCTATTTAAAAAGATAAGAATATTGAAAAACACAAAAAAATGGAGGGATGAAGCAAGGATGTTGCAACTTTCCTTGTATTTTACTATTTTTTATTCTTCCTTGGACATTTATTCCAACAAAGATGATTTCCTATCATTATTTTGATAATGAGAAAGCATCTTGCTCTTGCTTCATGAGGTGGATCCTAAAAGAAGTGCTGCATTAGTGTCAAGAGTAGTCTCACTAGCCAGACCATTCCCCAGCCTACAGTCCAGAGGCGTATTTAGAGGGGGGCTGAGGGGGCTTGAGCACCCCCCTCAGGGCTGGGCTCAGAAAAAATTACTGAACTCCTGGACTCTTGCATCACTACCAAGCCTCTTAACAAAGTTATCTAGCCCCCTGATCATGATTTCAGCAGTTTCCAGTGCTTTAAGGAGCAATCAGAAGTACCAGTAACATAGCAGTATGCTTGAAATGATCTTGGCCCCACCCGTAATTGACGAAAATGCAGCATAGATACTATATATACCAAGTGGATGCGAAACAGGAAGTGGATTGTACATGAAATTATATTGGTGACGTCACGAGCAGTATGCCTATGCTCTTTTCGCTCTAGCGTAGCCTCTACTGGCCTTGTTTCTCGAAGTTTTGGGTTCTTGGTCAAGTTACTACTTTCCTGAGTTGAAGTAAGTATTATGAAGTCTCTATTAGCTCGAATGACCTGCTGAATCCTTGTTTGCTTGATCACTGGATCTCGTTGTACTGTAAAACATGGCGGCCTATAGTTCTGACTTTAAACACCTTTTCTCCAATCTGGGGCAGAGCTAGTAAGTGTTATTTGGGTAGAAGAAGGATATTATTGTGTTACATGGTCTGTAACTACTAGCTTTCCACTGCAGTTTTATAAAATAGAAATATATCCATTTTTTAGTTTATTAATGGTCTGTTTTGTAAACGCCTTTTCTGGAAAACTATGCGATTTGAAGAGGTATAATTTTGTATGTGTCTACGTACATGCCTTTTGTACGGTTTGTATATTTTCATAATTATTTTAAAGCTATGTTTCTTCAAAAAAAGTTAGTTAATGTCATTGTGATATACCATATTAGAATGATAAAACTATTATTATAATATTATTTTTTGATCATCAAATAGGGTATGAATATGAAACCAATGAAGATAAATTGTCTGTTGTTTCTTGTATTGACTCTTTTCAGAAGAAATATAGATTTTTATGAAGTTTTTTTATAATTATTGATTTTGCCACCATTTTGGTTGCTAAGTGTAGCTAGGATAAACGTCACATCCGGCGAAAAGAGCATAGGCGCATCCTGTTTTGTATCCACTTGGTATATATAGTATCTATGAATGCAGGAAAAGGCCATTTTACCGCCGTAAAATGGGTGTGGCCAAAATCGCGGCGCGCTTCGCGCGCCCTCAGCACCCTCCTCCTCTAAATCTTAGATACGCCCCTGCAGTCACCCAAATGACTGTAGGCTGGGGAATGGTCTGGCTAGCGAGACTCACGTCAAGAGACTGTCTGATCATTATGATGCCTAAATAATAGGAAATGAAGCTTTAGAATATGGAACTGTCGAGTGTCGAGTAATAAACAAACAAGCAAATAAATAAATAGATTAATAAATTAATAAAATAAATAACTATGATTCCCCTACCCATAGGATGGTAATCATGAAGCTATAGTGAAGAACATACATGAACTGTTAGTTAAGTTAGCCTGGGACTTCTCTCCCAACCAGTTGGACCACTTGTTTGGCTGCTTTCAGAAGAGCTGGGTAGGAGCTAGCAAGAAGCAAAGAGATGAACTGTTGGATTTCATAAGACGCTTAGCAGAGGATGACAAAGAAGGAATAATGGCCAGTAAAGTGCTGGAGCTCAAAAGTTAGTTTAGTTGACTATACATAACATTTTCTAATACATTATTAACATATTCATGCCGATAATTTATTTCTCTCTCTCCATAGACTGATTTATTATTTTTTGTTGAAAATCTCATAAGTGCCATTACTAGTTCTGCTCGTTCCTGTCCCTCAGTTATGAAGAGAATAATTCATTTATTACAAACACTATCAGTCAAACAATTTCCTGGTGAGACCACACCTACTAAACCACACCCCTTTATTAACTCCACCCACTTTAGAGTTTGAAGATAAAGTGCAGTTCAATTCGATTAGTGGGTTTATCTTTTTGAGGTTTTTTGCTTCAGCCATTTTGAATCCAAAGTTATTCGGACTACGACCCGAGAATCCAGTTAGTACATGTACATCACAATAAATACCATATAGCTGGAAAATTTGGCGGAGAATTAAATTTGGCGGATTGGTGGTTCAAAAACCGCCAATATTATAACCACCAATAATAATTGCAATTATTATGCGCGGGTTAATTGTACTAAAATTGGCAGTATTTCTCACTATTTCAGACACAAAGTCAAGACTGTGGGCAAGCCTGCAAGGACTTCCAAGGAGCAGCTTAAAGAAGAACTGAGTGTGCTTAAAGAAAAGACAAGATAGTAAACCGCCAAATTAAATGACCGCCAATATTATATTTAGGCAGTTTTGATGCAAAACCGCCAAAGTTTTAAACCGCCAAATTTTCCGGCTATACGGTATGTGGAATTTTTGAAGGAAAGAAAGTTTAGTGATATTAGCAATTTGATAACCATTTACCAAATAATTGCATGTTTACATGTGCATTCTCAATGGCTCCTGGATATTAATTTGACAAATCAAAATAATTAAACCAGCTAATCACCAAAACTTATGACAAAAAATTAATAATAATAATAATTGTTTTTCTTTCTTTTAGAATCATACTGTCTCAAGGACTTTACTTCTCATTTCTAAACTATTCAAAATTTAGGAAATGTCGGAGCAAGAGTAAAATAATAATCTGAGAGAGAGAGTGAGAGAGATAAAGATATGTGTATTATTTATTTACATGTTTACTTCATTTTTTCTTGATGAAAGAGTCAACGTATTTCATTCCACTTCTTTCTATAATGAAAATGTAATAAAACATAAATATCCACTCTTGGTAATATACATGTACATAATAATTA